ACCAAAAAAAAAAAGGCCAAAGAAAATTTTAAAAAAAAAAAAAAAAAAAAAAAAAAGACTGCTTAGAAACCAACATGTTTTAAGTAAGGCATAGAATGTCTGTAGTACAAATTAAGTCTTCAGGTAGCACATGCCAGTTATGCTAAAGTTACATAGCCCAAGTTTAATTATTTAAATGAGATTTTAATTTCCCTATTAAATTTCTTCCAGTTCCTAACAGCCTCCTTGACCAATGTAGCATTGCCCAATGCTGGAAACTCAATTTTAATAGAGGCATTTGTCAACACAGATTCTGCTTTATGAAACACTCCAGTAGTTTAATGCACTTTTTCACTGAAGGGACTTTGAAGTTTAAGCACTACCACTGTACTTTCAGGCAGATCCACAATGACATTGTTTGATAGTCGATAAGCTTCACTTAGTGGATGGAAGAAAATATATCAGGCCCTATTCTGATTTGCATTAAATAGAGAATCATTCCGGTTATATCATCAATTACGCCAAAAAGCCTATTTCTGTTTTATTCCCTTATGTCTCTACAGTAACATGAGAATGCGGTCCACAGAGTGCACATAATGAAACGCTAGTGTCAAGAGAGAAAATGATACTGTAAAATGGCAGGAACTATAGTAAAGTATTAATCTTGTTTATATTTTGAACTTGGTTTAGCCAAGTTCATAACTTGAACTTCTTACTGCCTTCAAGAAGAATTCCCAAAGCACTTCGGACTTTAAAGCTGCATTGCTCATTCTGTTCTAACCCAGCTGCACCTTAATTGGGTTATTAAAACAGCCCCGTAATTGCCTCGAGGCTGGATCAGGGCATTTACAAAAATAATGAAAGATGTCTCAGCAAAAGTTTTCTTAGTGCAAGCCAGTGTGTATTTAAACCACCTTGTTAATACACAGTGACAGTATAAAAGCATTTCTCACCATGCACAAACACTACTAGAACAGGATGATTTTTATGCTTACTACGCAAGTTAACGTTAATATTTATCCAAAACTAACTGAAAGACAGAACTAGCAAGCAACATAATAGGGTTTGCTGAGCCCTACGTAAGTTAATCCACTTGGAAGAGAAAAAGGTCATTTATGTGCAGAGCACTGCAACCGTATCCGTAAGCCTGACTTTCAGAGCTAAAACTAGGATACCGGCTACATAAATATAGGAAGGATTTTCCTAAACGGTGGCTTTCTGAACACCGCAGCCAGGGAGCACGCTCTGGTTTAAGAACTTGACTCTCTGCATCCTGAACCACCGTTTCTCAGCCTGGCATCCAACACTGATCGTATCTGCGAGATCCAGCAGCCCCCGTTAGAATCGCACGAGATGAGGAGATGCAGTATTATTAAGACAAGCTAATTGAAAAGGGAGCATTTCTTTCCCAGAAAGTTTCTTAGATAATGAACTCCTACATATGCCAACAAGCCCTGGGTTCAGAAATGAGACTAAAAGCTGCTTCGTGCACAGGTGTAAACTGAATTTACCAGCCAGTTCTGCTGGTGGCGTAGCAGCAGCACAGGCACAGGTTCAATCTCAGTCCCTCGCCGTGCACAGAGAGGATGAAGGGAGTGAAGAAAGCGCAGTGAACGTGAAGGGGGGGTGCGCGTGTATGGGCAGGGTACTTCTTAACACAGTGGTGGCAGATACTTGCCCACATCCAAAAGCAGATCTTTCAGACATAAGCAAGCATAGACGTGGCTCTCAAGCAGCAAACCACACTGCAGTAAAAAGGGTGACAACACTGGAAAAGACTGCATCATCGAGATTACCTAAAACAAAACTTTGCCTGGTACTTCTGGCCTACAATAAGAAACACATTCATGCCTACTGTCAAAGTTAAGCTGCAAGTCCTGAGCACATTTAAATATGGGTTGCATTTGCTTGTATTGCTTTGTAATGGTGTCCTTTTACCACCCCCAAAAAAAGATCTTTTTATATTTTATAGACTGCATTAATGGGATGGCTAGAGATGAAATCAGAGATGTGTTATCTTTCACACAGTGAAGTACAGCTTAATTTTAATCTCTCCCCCTACACTAGGCTTCCTTCTGTTGGCTAAGAGACTGGCAATGGATGAGAAAGATGGCATGCAAGTTTCATTAAATTCAATCCAAGCACAAATAAGATGAAGTCCATAAACCAGAGAGAGAAACTTAAGACTTTCTTTTTGTCTCAGAAAGGGAACAGTAAGAAAAGGGGGAAAATATTTGTTCTACGAGTTTGTAATCCTGAGGTCTTACCCCAGTTCAGGTCCCAGGCTCTGCTGGATATGCCAGTAATGGCAATGCCAGATGGGACATACTACTTTTTTCCCTGCCCAGTGCTTTCCATTGGGTGTCTACACCTACACCATCTGCATTGGACATTTCTACCTTGGGTCACTGTAAGGACATAATATACTCTTTAAGTACATCTCAAAATTGTCACTTGTGCAAATTAGGTTTTGTCAGTTATTTGAAGAGTAACAGCCAATTATCCATAGCTCTACAGTCTGTACCAATTCCCAGGTGCTCAAATGAGGCTTCCAAGAGAGGTTGGTTGTGGCAGGAGAGGGCCCAAAGGCCAGCATGCTCTCCTTTCTCAACAGTGTCGATTCGTTCCCCTCACCTTACCCTAATCAAGAGATAGGAGCACACTAAGCCTGCAAAGAAAGCTTCACTCTCCTTGTTCCCCAGCATCACCCGGAGGCTGACACAGTAAAGCTGCTCTGTCAGCCTTTCCACAGAGAGGCATCCCAAGAAAGCTAAAACAGATCAAGCTTTTTTGCTGTAACTCTTGCCAACACACACACATTTTTCAGTTAATTCATGTTTTAGATCCAGACAACAAATACAGTACTACACACAACGCAAAGACCTACAGCAACTAATGCACTGATAGCTTAGACCAGCAATAATCCTGAACAACAACAGGTGCAAACTTCTTACCATGGAGCGTAGAATTTAATAAAGGTGATCCCCCTAGCAATGGTTGCATCAAAGTCTTTTTCAGAGAGAGAGAGCACTGCAGCCTGTTCAAAAAAAAAAAAAAAAGAAAGAAAAAAAAAAAAAAAAGAGTCAAAACTTTTTGTATATGTAACATCGGCCAAACAAGCTTTTAGCTACCTGAAAGGGAAACTCAAACTGGAAAAGATAATATTATTGATAATATAAACAAGAGTAGCAGCAGCACACCGGACTTTTACCCCTCAGCTGCTTTCCTCCCCTAGACAGATGTAGAGAAACGCCTATTTCACACTGAATCGCATCCATAATTGGAGAAACAAAACATCCCTATTTTCAGGGGATTTGCCTGTATCCAAATTCTTAGTTGTTGGGGGGAAAAAAAAAAAAAATCACCTTCATTTTAATACGCTGTCACGCAGACGTTTCAAGGAACAACCCTGAGAGGAGTTGGCTTAAAGCATGTAATGGTCATCTGAGAGTTTAATGAGGTATTCAGAGCATACTAGGGATGTCTTGACAGCTGTTCTCCCTCTGCTATATCCCTGCGTTGCATACATAGAAAAAGCCGTTACCAGAAACACGTATTTGCCTGTCAAGGGGACGTCGCCACACAGCACTTGCATGGACGCCAGGAAGAATTTTTAATCCTGATAACATCAGGAGCAATTGCATGGGAGTGATGGGAGGATAGCACGTTGCTTACAGACAGTCTCATGGGAGAGCGCGGAACCGTAACAAACTTCATTTTTTCTTCTAGACCCTTAAGGGCGGGAGGGATTAAAAATAAATAAGTAGATCTCATGCCTATAAAAGCTTCAAATGAAAGCAAAACAAAAACAAGAGCGCAACTGCCAGTATTACCGATTCTACTTTAAACCCAGTAAGAGTTTTATGAAGAGAAGCCAAAAAGAAACTTGAAATTACAGATTAAAGGTACTGGATAAACGTTTCTGTAAATAATTGTTAGTTCATGAAATTAAGTTATTCCATTAAGTTGAAGTGTTACTACCGCTAAAGAATTATTTAAAAATTAGAAATTATACTTTCTAATTATTAAATAATTACAAATTATTAACTGAAGAAAAAATGAACAGTAAATACATATTCTCCTATTCTGAATTTCCTAAATGGATATCTAAAACAGATGTTCCAAACATCTTTTACAATCTAAGATACCAAATCTGAAAACCCCATAAACAATATCCTCCCCATGATCCACACAGTAAAATACATTTTAAAGTTCTGTAGATTACTATCAGGATAGCAATGTGAACTATATAGCCACAAAAATAAGTTTCATATCGAATAGCTCATTTACCTTGGTTTCTTAAGCAAATACTGCTTATGCAATCACACAGCCGACCATCTGCTGGTTACTTTACCTTAATCCCTCTGGATCATTTTTGAGTAATTTTAATGATGTCTGGCAGGAGAGAAGTCTCATGGTAATAAAAGTACAGCTTCCGTGAAAGGGCTGGCGTGTACTTGGCCCACATAAGACATGGGGGAATCCACGTAAGGGCTCAATACTGGGACACAAATTTGGAGTCCGGACTCACTGCTTTTGCCATGGTACTGGCTGTGGGCTGCTGATGGTAAATGCAGTCAGTGTTTGCTGGCTACGTGGGCCAGCCCCTTGTCTCAAAACTCATGAAAACAAAACCAGAACCAAGATGTCTGAAGGTAAGTGACCAAGAAGTGGTGGCATCCAAAGCTGGGATGTAATGCTGCAAAGACAAAGTTGAGCCCTACACTGTGTCTACTGTTATTTGGAAAAAAATCCCCCCACAATTCTTTCCTGTTTGTATGTGTGCTGGTGCATGCAAGGCCTAAGTGGGAATTGGCATCACATGTGGTTTATGTTATTTCTATAAAAAGAGAAAGACGATTAATTACTTTCTGCATTGTACTCACACCAGCTTGTTAGGATATTCCAAATATGAGGTCAATTTAAAAATAAAAAAAATGAGGGGTATGAAAATTGCAAACCTAATATCACTTTTGGTAAGCCACTTTATGTAAGATTAGTAACCCTGCTGGAAAAGTCAACTGGGAAAGGTAATCTTCTCCTGTGAGAAGCTGTATATAAACTGTATTTATATTAATAACATTTATGCCTTTGAATTACATAAGTTCATTCTGCATCACAAGGGAGTGTAAATCACCATCCCTTATTTTCTAGGCAGAAGTATGTTTTCCACATTTGATGAAAAAGTATGCTTCAAAACCACCCCTAATTTCTCAGCCTCACCAATTTTACATTCAGCTACAAGAAAAATAGCAGATGAAATGCCAAAGTGATTAAAAAAGACAGAAAACTAGATGACATGAAGTACAATCTGCTGATTCCTTGGCAACATTCATAACCCCTGTAGCTCCTACAACCAGGATTAGAATAAGCCTCCAAACCTGAGGAGTTTTCTTGTCACAGAACACGTTACCTTGCCACATCTGAATCAGTCTTCATAATCTTTGCTTGTTTGTGGTTTCTGCACGTAGTCTACAAGTGCAGGACCCTGGCTTTTTTTACTGGCTTAGCAGCATGTGCCATCCTCCTGGCTTCAAGTGAGAATCTTGCAAGAAACATTCATCTTCATAGCAATGAAATACCCTGTCACGCAGACTGAGGTGCCAGCAGGTCCGCAGACCAAAAAAGACCACATTTATGCCACTACCTAAACAACTTATTGCAACCATAAAAAGAAGCCAGATTTTTTTTTTCCTTCTCCAATTCATCAGGTTAGTAAACTAGGATCTATGGTCTGATTCCACTCATTAATAACTAAAAAAATAACCAGGGAAGTATTTGGTACAGTTTACATCTAGGAATTGTCAAGCTATCAGAGAGAACCACATGGAAGACTTGGACAGGCTGCTGCAACAGTTTGAACACTTTTAACACTGCTACAGAGTGCGGGAGCACTTACCTCAACACGGGTGGGTTCTGCGGGTGGCTGTGGGGCTTCGGTGGGTTTATCTGCTGGTGGCTCTTTCCCAGAACTCTGCAGTTGGGAATCCACATATTCCTTTAAGGAATCGAAGTCCCTCTTCCCTTTGTACTGGTCACCCTACAATTATCAAAGAGTTTGTGCAAGTGTGTATATGCACTTAATCTAGCAAATAAATAATTATCAGCAAAACGTAAGATTGCCAAGTGTAAGCATCTTTGTAATAAATAACGATTATCTAGTCATTAAACCTCTCCATGGCATTCCATTCGCTCCACATCTTCAGGATTTCCCATAGGTTCTTCTGTACCAAAAGGGAACAATCTAAAATTTCCTTGAAATGAAAGGTATTTTAGAAACGTAGAAGCAAATTTTAGTAACCTTTCTACTCCGACCTTTATCTCCCACTCTAGCCAGCATTTTCAAGCTTTTATTTTTCTGAACCTAAAGCTACGGCAACGAACAATAAAATACCCATTGCTGTTTGGTGGTGGTCTCTGTTACCATGAGAGCTCTGTCCAGTGTTTTGACAGGGCTGAAAGACTGACTTGCATGTCACCTGAACTACACAGTCGCTCCCCTGGCCCACACACTCATCACACATCCTCGGAAAACCCCAAGAGTAAGGCAATGCTCTCTGGGTGCCTAAGTTCACCTGGGAGCAAGAGACAACAGCTGCCTGCTGTGGGGCAGGCATTTCCAACTCTCAGGACTAAGTTAACTCACATTTTTGAACCTGCAAGTAAAGCCCTCAACCCAGTAGATCTTCGAGAAGCCACAGTTTGCCTTAGACGCTTCTCCATATCTCAGGTATGTTCACAACTCTAGAGAAGAAGAAATCAGAGCACCTCTGAGCAGTTTCTAATCTCCAATCCACTGTTGGCCATCTCCAAACTGGCTCTTGCGTGACTGCCCTCCGCACTCTGCGAAAATTAGTACTGATTTCTCTGTTCAAAAGAGAGATCATCTCTTCAAGACGCTACCCATCCATTTTGGATAAAACTCTTGAGTTTCAGTCCCATGAGGTGTGGGCTACAAGATGTATCATCTCCTCTCTCAGATGAGGAGTAACAAGAAACAGCATACAATCTTCCATACGTAGGAAGGAAGAACAGACACCTCTACAACGATTTCCTACATCTTTGGAACTCTTGCCACACATTTTCCTTCTTTCGTCATTCATAATGTTACTTGTAACTATAGCCACCTTCCCCACACTGGGTCTAAATCACAAAGGAATTAATCTAAGACGATGCAAGAAGCCTGTACCTGCTTGTTTGTATCCATTTCATGACAAGGTCAGTGCCCATTCGTTCCTCCCAGGGTTTCTGCTGCATCTAACCAAGAGGGCTGGTGTGATGCCAGACTTCAATTATGACAAAGGGGACGATGGTATTACGGACAACAATGCTGGATGGCTGAAGCAGTTCTCCTCCTCCTCCCCCCCGCTTACTAAACAATATAATAACAGCCAGAGAGATTTCCAGGAATTTCTGGGTCAGATTATTGGAAACTTTTTGGGGTTGTTTTGTGTTTTTGAAAATATATTGTATCAATCCACGAAGGAACATGCGATTCTGGTGGCAGTATGCCACCAGGGAATACCACACTGCCAATGGAGAAAAGCCAGTTTGATGTCAACAGAAATAACATTGTTCAGACTAATGGCTGAGATTCAGCTCTACCAAATACAACAGCAGTGATCTGACTTTTCCTTTCAGCGCACTCTTGATTCAAATAACTCCGAGCAACTCAAACTTCAATAATTACAAAGAGTCAAAAAAACAAAAACAACAAAAAAAAACCCCCACGTATCTGGCTTGTTGAGAAAGACCACAGCTAACTTTTCTAGATCAAGATAGTATGGTTCTGGCAAGGTATCTTGCCACCTGTAGCTATCTGAAAAATAAAAATAAAGCAGGTGGAAAACCATTCTGGAGAAACAGCAGAACACTTCCCGTTCTTCAGACTCACACCATAAAGAGAAAAAAGTTTAACTGAAAACACCTCTAACCTAGGACATGCCACCATGTTTTGACTTGAGCGCTCCCTCAGCTTCCAGTTCTGCTTCTGACATGTGCCAGGCACCGCTGCTCAAGCAGTAACAAGGCTGTGTATTTCCTGTGGGAATCAGGTTCGGATTCAAAAATCCAGGTGCTGCTTCATTTAAATTCCCTGGTGTGTCAGATCTTATAGGGGTGCTTATACCAAACCTCACATGCACTGGTATGTACTTACGTCCACTTTCTCTTTAGAGTGCCAGAAAACTGCCACAAGCAACAGCCACTAAACTGGACTGAGTAGCAAAACTTACATCTCTGATACTGTAGATGTTCAAAAAGGCCCCCCCCCCCAAAGCTTAGTGGGTAAGAGCTAAAAGAGGAGAGCTGGGTTCTCTGCTTGCAGACCTATTTTTAATATCCATTTAATACATTTAATTTATCTTGAAAGTGTGAAACATGATAAGACAGACTACTATTTATGTTTATTTGCTGCTGTTCATGTACGTGGTATTTATAAATATTTTACTTCCCCATAGCTTCAGAATATTGTAATTCTTTGTATTGCTACATGGAAAAACGTCAGCTGGGCCCACAGCACTCTCACTCACAGTGTCACAGGAAGTGTTCAGATTTATAAGATGGAAAATTTGGATCACTCAGACATCCCTCAGCAGATACGCACCACTTACAGATGAGACCCTTCTGATACACATGGTGAAAATTACATAATTTTTTGTTATTCCTATTTCACCTCTGTTTTTATGTTCCATAGGAAGTAAGGTATTAAGATAAAGTACACCCAGAATTCTCTTACACAGTAGCATAATCGGAGATACTGCTTACAGATTTAGGAACATCATACCAGTTATTTGCAGAGCACAAAGAGCAAAAAGCTCTAACTTTTATCTGTGGATGAAGGATACCTCTTCCAGCACCAGACTGAACCTCCAACATCCTTTTGCCTCACAGGCAGACTTTCCTATATGCCCGCTTGATCTTTTTTTCACAGAATGCAAACATAGTCCGAGTATTATTCAGAAAAAAATGGTCCGATCTTTTGCTGAGCTTGCAGACTCACCTTTTCACCATTCCTAAACCAGAGGAGCGTGGGATAGCCACGAACTTGGGTTTCAGAGCAGACTTCGTAATGCTGGGTACAGTCAACCTACATGTGGAAAAAAAATGTAAACCATTCAGTGCATAAAATAAATATACAACAAGCATCACAGCTTCTCTTATGTTTAAAATCTCAGAAAAATACAGGAACTAGCAATGCATGGCTTGGCAAAACTCAGTACCAAGTACTGTCTTGAGAACGATTATGTCTGCTTTCCAAATAGTGGTTTGGTTGTATAATTGGGAGGCTCTGTGTGTGTGTTTACTTTTTTTTTTTAAGGAGGGATTGGGGAGGGAGGTATGAATAGAAGGAAGTAGTAACAGTTACAAAGAACAATGAAGACATAATTAAATATTCCAATTAAAACAAGTACTTTGTATTCTCACTTAATAAAATCACCGCATGGACAGTAAGACACAAAACGCTAATGTGAGAGAGCTTTAAAGTGAAGATATATTGGCTTATCCATTTTTGAAAAGACTACTCTTTAAAGACTTCAGAAGACATGTCAACAGCTAGCAAGTTAACTTTGCTCCACGGGAAGTTCCAAGCGCATAGCAACATTCAATTTGAATATGTCATAAACCGATCTGTAAAGTTACCAGTTCATAATCTTCTTTGAAACAGAGAAAAAAAGATAACTTAAGCATTGGAGCCGTTGCTCGACACAGCACTTGGATTTTGAATTTTGCATTAGAAACACTGTGCTCCAGATCACTGAAGATCAATTCTGAAGATTAAACAGAATCCTGCCAGTAGGTATCGTTGCTGTTAAGACACCATTCCCCCAGATTATGTGAAGGTCATGGTTCAACCTTCTTAGAAACAGTTGTGTTTCCTGTTTACTCACAGACTTACAATCTCAGCCAAGACATGATTCAAATGGTTTCATAACATGTACAGTTACACAAAATTGACTAGGCATCAAGACAAATCTTAATGGCTGTATTAAATAGCAAATATCAGTAAAAGTAACTGTGAACATGACAGACAACTGAATAAAACAGAAATGTGGCAATTTTTTGTTTATTTTGTCTGGATAACAAAGAATGGTAATTTCAAGAAGATACTTAAACTAAGCAATGATTTTATCAAACAGCAAGCATTCCAGGTTCCCAAAAAATAAATCAGCAGATGCAACATTTAGTAAAGACACTACCGAAGGAGCAACAGCCTCTGATATTTTATTCTCAGAGGGAGTCTAATTTTATATCCACCAGGTCTCAAAATTACATATATATATATACATATATATGTCTTAAATTACATATATATATGTATATATATGTCTTCTCTAAGGTTCAACTATGCTGACCTGCTCTGTACATCTACAGTGTATCTGAATTAGCAGATTTTCAAAGCATTAAAAAAAAAAAATTAAAAAAAAAAAGTCAAGCTCATCACCCCTAGTAACAGCTGAAAGCTCTATGAGGGCAGAGGCAGGGGAGATAGCTGGGTTTTTGTCCCTCTGCAGGACTGACAACACTGCTAACTGTCATGCAGTCTTTCAGATCAGTGAAACCACTCTGAAAGCTTAAGGATACGGAAGTTGAGCCCAGTCAGTTTTCCACCATTGGCAAATTCAGAGGGATTCACATAATGAGCCACCTGGACTTAGGTATGGGTCAGCAAATAAAGCCAGTAACTGCAATTGCTAGACCACCTCCATACCTCTGCAAAGAAGTCACTCCATGTACAAGTAACAAGCTCCCATGGTAAATACACCACAGAATCTGGTTATCAACCCTAAGGGAAATAGTAAAGCAGGACAAGATATCAGTTTTTAAGGTGGAAGACCCCCTGAAACCTTTAGAAAGTTCTATGGGGGTAAAGAGGAATGAAAAAAAAAAAAGAAAAAAACAGGAAAAATAATTCATCAAAGAGCTCTAAGTCTGAAACTTGCTAAAGAATTCAATGCTGTAAAGAGCAAATTGGAAGTCACTTTCCCACTCAAAATAAATTCTGAAGTCGATATATCAAGTTCTGACAGAGGGGAAGCATAATAATAATAATAAAAAAAAGGCTTAAAATGTTATTCCCTGCATATGAAGTATTAGACTTATTCCCAACTCCCTCTGAAGCACAGGGAGCTAGCTGTGTTTCTAACAAGTCCTTGCTTAAAATGAGGGAGTCCTGTCACTGTAACGAAACAGCCATCCCTTCAAAACAGAGTGAACTACTGGATGTGCAAGGAAAAGATAACCATCTCAAAATTAAAATAGGAACTATGACTATAAAAGGATTTAAGAGGTGACAAACAAAACAACTGTTATTTGCAAATCACAGCATGAATAGCATGATACTTGGCTGAAATACTCATTCACACAAAACACATTTTCAGACTAAGGGCACTTCACCTACCTTGCCAATCTTGACAGTTTCTGAATGCTCAAAGGCTTGAGCCAGCTGTTCCCAGGTTGGGGCCAAAGCCTTGCAATGCCCACACCAAGGGGCAAAGAATTTTATAAAGTGATTACCTTTTAAGTCAAAGAAAAAAAAGAAAAAAAAAAAAAAGATTTAACTCATTTGGAATGAATTTGGCTGCAGTTAAAGACTAGGTACTAATCTCAGACTGCAAATTTATAATGGTATTTCCTGAGTTAAAGATCGGAAACACTGTAAATCAAAGGCCAGGGCAGAATTCTTCAGCAATTAGGTTTTCAATACCGTATGCAGTCCCACAGTGTTGCCAATTTCCCTGAAAATCCAAACAGCTTCACAACCTCAAGCCAACAAATGAGATACTAAAACTGATATTTTTAACCTAACCATTTGCTACAGTGTCTAATACTACCATGTCAATCACTTGCCCTATTACAGAGTAGAAAGAACCACCAGGGAACAAGTATTTGTAACAGCATAAATGAAAGTAAGTATGAGACTTCAACTTAAACATTTCTTAGGAAACACTGCTGCATTAAGTCCATGAACTACCTAAATCATTTTGTTCAGCTTTACATTCTCCTTTTTCTGCCCTGCTCTTTGTATTTTCATGTCAACTATTCAGAAATCACTGCCTTTATAAAACACCGCAAACATCTACTAGAGAGAAGAGTCTCTCCTACTAATATCTCCTACTAATGTTTAGTTTAAAAGTATAATCTTAATTGCAGAGTACCAGAATATGCAATTTCCTTCAATTAAGATTACTATTAATTCAAGATGCTGCACACTTTTGCACACGTCAAGGCAAGGCTCTGTTAATACAAAATAAAAATGAACTTAATTAAAACAAGAGAAAAAAAAAAAATCAAATTAGTTTGAAGGAAATGCCAGCAACTAGAGAAAAGCTCTTTTTAACAGAATTATTCATCATCCTTTGAAGACTGCTTTGGGGCTGATATTACTAAAATTACTTTCTAGTTTGAGGGCTTGTTCACAAAAGGAGATCAGGTGAAAGATGTCACAAAATAACTAGGAAATGTAAACTGCAGTAGTAGCGTACTCTAATTGGCCTCTTCTGCATCAGGAATACTCTCAAACTAATTGACATGCTTTCCTTTGGTCAAGTAAACTGCAAACTGAAATTTCTCGTGAATGAATAAGAACATCTAGTCAAAATCAGCTATCCTATACCACATACTCTGTGATATACTCTCCTCCCTGATAGAAAAAAAGTTAAAATTCTTTTTACCCTAGAGCGCCAAAAAGTTAAAGGGACACTTTTCAAGAACAAGTCAGCCTTT